TACTTTTAGAGCGGCCTGTAAGACCTTGAAATGTGTCCGGGCCACGAAACCCTGTCGGTTCAAGGGCCCACACCTGCGTCGGACGTAGTCGTAGATGCGGTCGCAGAAGGGTGTGGATTCCTGTCCACAGTGGCGGAGTGGTTTTTCTCTCATAGATCCCGGTGAGACCCCTCCCTGGAAGATGGGAGGGATATACGGCTCCTTCCTTGCGGTGTCTAGGGTAAGCCTTGAAAGCTCCTCAGGATAAGCCGGCGAACGGAGGCGATGCTCCATAGATGACTTCGGTCATAAAGTATCAGTGCTCTCCGGCTGGTCACCGGAGGTCCAGTGGTTGACCCAGCCACAAGACTAGCCATCATCAGTCTAAAACTGGGGAGGTCTGTGTGGTCGTTACCCACAGGTCGACAGCTGACCATGTTACCGGAGGTGCAGGTTGCCCCTGCCACGTACAGCTTACATACCTGTGCGCGGTAGTCCTGCAGCTTGGTGTTGGCCTCTCGGGGGCAGTGGTTAAGGCCGGTGAAAGTCCGGTAGTCCCTCGGCTTCGGCTGGGGGGTGTGTGTCCGTCCACGTTAATGACGGATCGGGGGCAGGCCCGATAACCTGTCTGAGAGGACATCGGGAACCCGACGGCCCGTCCGTGAGGGCGAGTTGCTAGATAGGTGTCCCACATACGGGCTACGGTCCGGGGTCGCATGGAGGATAGCTCTCCATCGGCCAGAAGCGGTGCACTCCCTCGGGAGTGCCATGTTGAAATGAAATGAAATGAAATGAAATGAAATGAAATGAAATGAAATGAAATGAAATGAAATGATGAAATGAAATGAAATGATGAAATGATATTTATTCGTCTATAGACATTATATAAATGCATGTGACACAGTCAAATATAAATACATGCTGGTAGAGGCACAAGTCAAGTTCAAGCAACTAATAGTAATAATAAAGAATTATTACAAATCATGCAAATAAATAATCATACAAAAGCAGATAAGCATAGACAGGCTGAAAATACATGCAAGGCTGGTATTAAATAATCATTTGAGGTTATGTCATTGGTTGTAAAGCAAAAAACTCATCAATCTTATACAGGGGGTTTCTGACAAGCCATTCATAAATTGCATTCTTAAAACTATTGTAAGGGAGTTGAATTATTCTTGGCGATCGTTTGTTCCACAACTTTCTACCCATAATAATATGGCTTCTTTTAATCTTTTCCAGTCTTGTAAAAGGAATGTCAAGGTTTTCTCTTTTCCTAGTGTCAAAACAATGAAAATCACCCCTTAGAGCAAAGGTTTCATGCAACTTAAAACTAGATAACAATACATTATAAATATAAAGGTTTATCACAGTCAAAGCATTAAAGTTAATAAATAATGGTTTACAATGTTCATTTTGATCTTTGTTAAATATAGTTCTAATAATCTCTTTTTGGGCAACAAGAACATCATTGATGTGGTAACTATTTCCCCAAAGGATTATCCCGTAGCTTAGAATTGACTGGACAAGTGCAAAGTAAACATTTTTGAGATGATTTAGAGGCAGAAGGTTCCTTAATTTTCTAAATAAAAAAGTAAGCCTACTTAGTCTTGTGCATATATGTTGTACCTGGGAGTTCCAAGTTAGTTGGGGATCAACAATTACTCCAAGAATCTTAACATTTGAATTGTTTTTTATAGTTTCCTCCATTTGAGGTATAGGCCGCAAGCTAAATAGCATGGACTGTGTTTTGTCCTCGTTGACAAGGAATTTATTTGCTGCAAACCATTCAGAGGTCAAACTTAGGCTACTTTCCACTGCAGCTACAAGCTGCGTTACATCTGCACCCTTACTTAGAATGGTGGTATCGTCTGCATACAAATATGCTTCACAGTTGAGGCTGAAGGGCAGGTCATTGATGGCAATGAGGAACAGGAGAGGACCTAATACTGAGCCCTGAGGTACTCCACAGTTAGTGGATAGGACAGAGGACCAGGTATTGCCTATGCAAACTGCCTGTCTTCGATCAGCAAGGTATGTCCTGAATAGGCTGAGGCTCGCACCACGGATACCATAATACTCCAGCTTTTGGAGAAGGATGCCATGGTCAACACAATCAAAGGCCTTGCTTAGGTCAATAAAAGTGGCCCAAGCAGCCTCTCGACTTTCAAAACAATTGAAGACTGTGCGGACCATGGCATCGATGGCCCCCGTAGTAGAGCGTCCAGCCCTGAAACCAAATTGTTGTTCGTTGAACAGAGCATGATACTCAAAAAAATTTCTCACCTGGTTATAAATCACATGTTCGACTACCTTAGCCAAAGTTGGTACCAGACTGATAGGCCGATAGCTCTGAGGACTAGCTTTATCCCCCTTTTTGAAAATCGGACAGATCTTTGACAATTTTAAAAATTCAGGAAAGTGTCCTTCCTGAAGACAAGCATTTATGCATACTGTGAGAGGGAAAACAACACAGGAGGAGGTCTCTTTGATGAACCAGTTAGAAATGTCATAAATATCTTTTGTTTTTGAGTTTTTCATTTTCCTAATTACCGATAGGACTTCATCACAAGTTACGTAACCAAACCTGAAAGATGCATTTGTTTGAGGTGCATTCTTTAGAAAAACATCAAAAGAAGTATTTACACTACTTATCTCAGATCTAATACTAATTACAGAGTCAATAAAACCTTTATTGAGATCATTGGGATGCAAGGGAATGTCAACTTTTTTTGTACTACCACCAGAGTTCTCTTTTACAATTTTCCAAGCAGTTTTGCATTTGTTTTGCGAGTTCTCTATTACCTTGGCATTGTGTTTTAGCTTGGCATCATTGATTGCTTTTCTATAGAACTTCTTAGAATTTTGATATTCCAACTTAAGGGTAGGACAATTATTACTAGACTTAAGGTTAAGGTATTTAAGATGAAGTTGTTCCTTGAGCCTGAATAAATTATCATCAAACCAGCTATGTTTAAGTGTGTTCTTGTTATTCTGAGGCTTAGATCTAATCAGTGGAAAACACAAAGCAAACTCATGCATAAAAGTGTCAAAAAAGTTTTGAAAAATGTTACCTGGTTGTAGTGTTCCAAGGGTAGTCAATTCCTTTGTCCAATCAGTGTTGAGCATTTTTGACTTAAAAAGTGTGAGATTGTGTTCAGAGAAAGGCCTTATAAAGGTATTCTCGTCTGTATTTACAGGCTCAAGGTTTTTACATACAATAAAAACCGAGAGGCTAGTGGCCTCTCGGATGTCAGTGCCGCATGCTGGCGTGAGCCAGGACTCAATGTTATCTCTGGTGTCCCCCAAGGTTCTCACATTGGACCCCTACTTTTTAATCTGTTCATCAACGATATTGGAACGGTCTTGACCACCAACTACCTCATGTCTGCTGACGACATTAAGTTTTTCTCGGTAATCCATTCCGTGTCTGATCAAGAAAACCTTCAGAGATCCATAGGTAATGCCGTTGGGTGGTACAAAAACAACTCCATGGACTTAAATGTATCTAATTGTCAGGTTATGATTTTCAAGAGAATATTGAACATCCTGAAGTCGGAATACTACATCAATGGGAGCACTCTTCCCTCTATGGATAAAGCGAAGGACCTTTTGGAATATTCTTGACACCTTCACTCAGCCCCTTTGACCACATTGTCCACATCACATCAAGGGCGCATGCACTCCTGGGGTTTGTCTTCAGGTCTACTAAAAACTTTCAAGATCTTCGGCCACTTTTTTGCTGTACAAGACCTTGGTCCGTCCAATACTGGAGTATGGCTCTGTGGTATGGTCGCCTCATCAGCTGGGTCATTGCTGTCTCGAATCCAAGTTCTCTTCATTTGGCTGTTGGGTATCCGGATTGGTTATGCATAAACCGATGTACCAATTGAAGAACTTCAGAGGGTCTTTGGTATCCAACCTCTTCACACAAGACGTAGACTGGCTGATCTTGTGGACTGTGGTGCTGTATAAGCTAATGGTCTTCTAGACAGCCCCGATCTGCTTTTTTCAACATTGGCCTTACTCTCCCGAGAGGCACTCGCTCCAGAGCAATTTTTCAGCGCAAATTCCATCCACATCATATGTGTACTTGACTCGGCTACTACGTGAGGGCGCTGTGGCGGCTGCTCATATGGACTTCTTCAGCACCTCAGCTCCTGTTTTTAAAAGATGTGCCAGTGCAAGTGCCTTTTTAAGCTAGTGGCTGCCTAAGGGCCTCAGTAAAGTTCAGTTATTTTTTTGTGGTGCCTTTAAAGGGCCACATCTCTGTCCAGTTAGTGTTTCCTTTCCTGTTTACTTTGGGAGTGAACAGTGAACAATGGTATTCCTTATTCGCTGGACTGGACTGGACTGATGATAACAGATTTGTGTATCAACATCCACCTCCCACCGTGCCTGTGACCTTTAGGAATGGGCACACGGAAGGGACTAAGGCTAAATGTATAATGACGTCATATCTCTAGTGGTTATTGTCTTCTCTTGAGGCGACACGATTACCGTAACGAAACGAAGTGATTTCAGCGGCGTTCGTGGCATAGTTGGTAGCGTTTCGGATTGCTGTTCAGGAGGTCCGGGGTTCGAGACCCGCTGGCAGCATTAACTTTTTGTCAACAAATTTTTCATATCAGCAAGTTTGGTTGGTTAGGTTAGGTTATGACAGTTTAATTTTATAATACTAAATTTTAAAATTAATTTTATAATTAATTAAAAATTATAAGTAATCATTAATTACTTTTTTATCTTATATAGTTTTTATATTATCAGCAAGTCTGGTTGGTTAGGTTATGTTATGACAGTTTAATTTTAAAAATTTAAAATTTATTTTATAACTTTAAAACAATATTTTATAATTAAAAAGTTAATTTTATAACAAAAAATAAAAAATTAAAAATAATTTAAATTTTTTCAACTTAGCAGTCCTAGCGGCGAACGCTGACACTACAAGATATGTTAGCCTTAGTCCCTCCCGTGTGCCCCACCGGTGACCTTTATATCGCTTTTATCAGTGGCATAAACAATGTTGTGTTTTGTGTTGTTTGATTGTGGAGGTTAGTTAGTCACACATGAGTATGACAAGGGCTCAACGTGGTGATTTTGATTTGATTAGTCATCACTCATTCCATTCTCAACTCATTCATTAAATTTCAGAATCTCGGACATGAATTAGGCTATTCATCGTGATGTGATCGTGATTATTGAAGTGATGCAGTTTAGACCTAGTGTTGGATTCATTATTCATAATTTTTATTCATGAAAACAAATATTTTAATTCAACTAGGCTATGGACCATACCCCAAAAACACATTAGTTTTACTTTTATGATGATTATTTTTTACTGTTGGCCTAACTTATAATTAAATAGCACTAAGTTATGGCCTCTGCAATGAATTCCAAAGTGCAGTTTAAAGTTGTGATACTCGGAACTGAAGGTGTTGGAAAGACATGTCTACTGAACAGGATAGTTTATGACAAATTTACAGATAAGTACCAAATGGTAAGTTTACAGGAGGTTTAATTAATGATTTTGTTCCTGACAAGTTTAAGTTAAAACTTTTTGAACAGCATAGGCCTAACTTGCCCTGGAGTGCTTCAGTAACTAGGCTAGGTGTACAATAATTATTTCCGTATGTGGACGAAAGGAAGGTAACTTAACTTAGCGAATAAAGCTGAGCTACTAGTAAGCTAAGTTAGTAAGGCGACTTGACTACACCGTGGTAATCTACTTGTTGGCACACAAAGAACATGCACTGGATCGAGCAGGCATGTATGCTCAGTGTCTCTCAGAGCAGGAGGTAATTTTGAGCTTGCCCGAGGCCTTGGTGCTGATGTGGTGAATGTAACTTATGGCTTAAACTCAAATGACGAGTCGGCTGCATTTTAACACGAGACCTTCCCTGGAGGACCAAAACCCACCACCACCGCGCCGTGACTAACTTAGTGTCCCAGGGGCCTGATCAGAAATCGATTAAAACCTCTACTGCGAAGGAGTGGGTGATTGTGGGAATGCCCCACACCCTTCTCAACAAAAATTATTAAAAACATTTTATAATTTTTTATAAAATTAAACTGTCTTAACCTAACCTAACCAACCAAACTTGCTGATAACTTAAAAAAGATATTTTGAAAATTATTTGGTATGTCTACAACGCGATATTATGTACCTTTTTGATGTCTCTTACAGTATTTTTCACGCTGAATCCAAAAATGCAATAAGTTTTTGTCGGAGAGATTCCTAAGTGACCGTACAGTTTAAGCTTCAGTTTTGTTGTAATATTCACATATTTGTGGTATGGACGAGTCCAAGTTCTAGTGGCGACTAACACTTAAAGGGGAGGAAGGATTGTGGAGTGGAAACAGCTGTCAGTTGTTTACATTCGATAATAAAATCAGAGTTACAATATGCAATAACTAGATTTTTAAAAGAAAATGGACTTTGGTGCTGTTTAGAAAATACAATAAATCAACTACGATACATAAACTATTAATCACATCAACATAAATTATAGAACAAAATAGAATCTATTCACGTAAAATATCAGTAATAGAAGCAAGGCCACTGCCGACATGATCATCGTCCTCATTCCAATCCTGAACCATTGACTAATGCCTCAACGTCTGTTAATGAACGTGCCATAGTGCACAATCCCATAGTACATAATCCCATTGTGTCTAAAAGTGAAAACGTGCCACAGTGCATAATTTAATGTATCAGCAACTAATAAATGATGTTACATAATCTAATCTAACCTAACCTAACCCAACCCAACCTTTAAAGTAATGTTTAAATCACATTTTATGTCAGAAAAGGCATGTGAGGAAGATAGGTCGGACTTTATGTATATTTCATTGTGTTTCACCCACTATTTCAATTGTGCAAAAACAGTCTGGAAGTTGCATAAATTAATGAGTCGGTTCATCATAACCTAACCTTTAACTTACCTAATCTAACCTCACTTCAAAGGACTTAATACAGTCACGAATCCGCATAAAACCCGACCTACCTTCCTCACATGCCTAAATAAGAACTGATTCTGATTATCTCTGGTTTCAAAACGAATTGATTTCATTCCGCATTAAGTATCGAGTACAAACAGCTGTTTGCTCTCCTCCTCACTCAGTCCTCCTCAAGTCCACATACGGACCCGTCCAGACCACGCCATATTGCCATCAGTATAGCTCAATGAACCTTAGATTCGTAATGTTGACCCTCGTTTTACGATCATTTAGGAATCTCTCCGACAAAAACTGATTGCATTTTTGGATTCAGCGTGAAAAATACTGTAAGTAGACATCAAAAAAGTACATAATATCGCGTTGTAGACATACCAAATAATTGCCGATATTTTTAACTTAGGATAAAAATCCAATGAAGGTTTACTAGGCCTAATACAGTAGAACTTTGATAGCAAGACTCTCAAGGGGATTATTAGGCCTAATAATTTTTATGGGTTAAATCATTTTAAAGGGCATGAAATGCGAAAGTATTTTACGTAATTTGACAAAACATCACATTAGTGTTAATAGTTGTAACAACACTTCGAAGTTGTAAAGAAGTAATTTACAAACCATTTTATTTATGTTAGGCCTAGGCCTATGTGAGACATACAATGGTGAATATATGGTTGTACGGTATTAAAGATGTTGCAACCGTTTTGTAGGAAATTTAACGCTCTTTTCATTGGTAGCCTATAAGTTATTATGCTGTACGCGTATTTGCTTAATTTCTATAGTCGTTTTAGTGAAGCTACTACAGGTAATTTTAAAAATTAACATAATCGGCCATTACAGCCTAACTTAACGGGTGGGGTTGGAAAATTTTTTTTTGGCATTTTTTGTTTATTTTAGTGAGTAGAATAACTGGTAAAAATTAACGCACTTAGTAGAAACTCACCCTGTATTGATAAAATTTGTCAAATTTATTTATTTCATCCTATAGTATTGACGTATGGTCAAAAAACACTTTTTACCTTCCCTGTAGCAGCAAACCTAAGCACTCGTTAATTTGAATGTTATTTAAATTGGGAATAAATATCTTTATTTATGGAAATGTTTTAGTAAAAATGTAATTAGAGAAGTTGAAATTCGCTTAGTCCGCAGGTTTGCTGCGGCGGGTTTAAGTATTAACTTATTTACTTTTGCAAGTTAATTAATCTAAATTTTATTTCCTATTGTAATAAACATGTTTCAAGCAAAATAAAGAAGTTATTTTTTAAAAATCTTGCTAAAAAAATAGGCTAATTAATTTTTTAAAAGCAATGTCAAAAAATGTAGGCCTTTTTAGCCTATAAATAAATCTTTTTACTAGTTCTTGCTTTTATTCCCTTAGGTACTTTAGTTAAATCTCTACATAGGCCTATAATTTTTTAATTTTTAATTATATCTAGCCTACAATAGTCTATGTTTTAGTTTTACAGCTATTTATGTAAAACACTGACTCATCACCACTGTTGTTGTACGATAGGCCTAGGCCTACGCCGGCGCCGCCTATTCGCTGTCACTTTCACTGTAATTTTCGCAAAAAAGTGTCAATCTCACTCGAGAATATGCGATCAAATTAGTTTGTAGCCTATTCCTTCCATTTATAAAACAATAATAAATCCGTTACTAAGTTATAAAATAATTACTTATTACCACTGAAAGTACGAACACAAACAACCACATGACATCAGTTGCACCATATTGCCAGCTGTACAAATGAAAATAATATCCATTGTCAATGTCTAATATTAATTAGGCCTAATAATATTTCAGGGAGAATTAAGAAAACAATTCTTTTGTAAAACTGTAGACTTATAACAAATAAAACACAACAGCTGATACATAATACGTTCCATAAATACGTTAACACAACTTTAAATGACGTAATATTTGAACACTTTATTATCGGTACTTGTTTTCTACTTCTTTACTAGAAACTACGCAACAATTAACTTAATTTAAAAAAATCAATAATAATGCTATGTTGTCATCATGGAACAGTTCCGTAATAACTTAAGGTGTTTGGGTCTATTCAGCCGATCACGGAACCATTCCGTGATAAGTCTCCAATGGGTTAAGTTAGTTTACACCCCACATTCACTCGATTGAATTCTTCGATTAAAACCATCGATAAGGCCTATCAATTATTTTATTAAATTTTAAACATCCGATCCATATTCCTTCTGTTTTTTTGTTTTTATCTTTTAAACACATTTAAATTAAAAATTTACAACTGATATTGTTTAGGCAAAAACAACATGGATTAAGTATAAAAGCCTGATACAAAGTAACTAGGTGGCGTTCGCAGAGGCATCCACAAAATTGAGCGGAGTCATCAAGGGTTCATATTATACTGTTTTTGTCATACTGCAGTAAAAACAGTCGTCATTGGTGCATGCTTTGCGGGTCTAAAGAAGCATTTTTACTCTTTAGGGAATAAAATTCGTTTTTAGCCTCTATGGAGTAAAACTCAGCTGTTGTCAACTCAGTTGTAAATTTCTATTGTAAACTATTGATTACGTATCGAAATATGTAACGATTCGTGCTTCATAATCATTTTAACCTAATAATAATAATTTTAATAATAATAATAATAATAATAATAATATTTTCATAATAATTTTAACAGTCTACAGTCTCTTCCCATAGCATTTTAGCATTGCAGATACATTAATCCATTCCCACACTCAACACTGCCCACCTTTACTACTTCCTTCACCATCCCCTACGTCGTGGACCTGTTTCCCTCTCTTCCCATAGCATTTTAGGATTGCAGATACATTAATTGCCAAATACACTTACCACACTCTGCACTGCAAGCCTTACTACTTCCTTCACCATTTCCTACGTCATAGACCTGTTTCCATCCCTTCTCATAGCATTTAAGTATTAGATACATTTATCTAACTGCCCAAACGGTTCCCTCACTCTGCACTGCCAGCTTTTACTACTTCCTTCACTACTTCCTACGTCGTGGGGCCTGTTTCCTTCCCTTCTCATAGCATTTTAGGATTGAAGATACATTAATCTAACTGCCACAGACGGTTCTCACAATATGTTCATACTTTACTACTTCCTAAGCCACTTCCTACATCGTGGACCTGTTTTCATCACTTTCCATGGCATTTTAGTATTTTAGATACGTTAATCTAATTGCCACAAACATTGCCCACATTCCGCACTGCTAGCCTTTACTACTTCTCTCACCATTTTCTATGTCGTGGCCATGCTTCCATCCCTTCTCATAGCATTTCAGCATTGCAGATACATTAATCTAACTGCTACAAACGGTTTCCAGTTCCCAAACTCCACCCTGCTCACCTTACTACTTCCTTCACCTCTTCTTACGTCGCAGACCTGTTTCCCTCTCTTCCCATAGAATTTTAAGATTGTAGATACCAAGATATCTTAATCTAATCGTCATAAACAGTTCCCACACTCCGAAAAACTCGCCTTTACTGCTTCCTTCATCACTTCCTACGTCACGGACCTGTTTACCTTCCTTCCCTTAGCATTATTAGAATGCAAATACCTTAATCTATTGGTCATAAACAGATCCCACACTCCGGACAGCTCGCCTTGACTACTTCCTTCACCACTTCCTACGTCACGGACCTGTTTACCTTCCTTCCCTTAGCATTATTAGAATGCAAATACCTTAATCTATTGGTCATAAACAGATCCCACACTCCGGACAGCTCGCCTTGACTACTTCCTTCACCACTTCGTACATCGCGGACCTGTTTTCTCCCGTCCCAAAGCATTTTAGGAATTTTGATACCATAATCTAATAGTCATAAACAGTTTCCACACTCCAGACCTGCTTTGACTATTTCCTTTACCACTTCCTACATCGCGGACCTGTTTTCCTCCCTTCCCATAGCATTTTAGGATTGCAAATACCTTAATCTAATGGTCATAAACAGATCCCATACCCTGAACAGCTCGCCTTTACTACTTCCTTCACCACTTCCTACGTCGCGGACCTGTTTCCTTCCCTTCCAATAGCATTTTAGGATTGCAGATACCTTAATCTAATTGTCATAAACAGTTCCCACACTCCGGACAGCTCACCTTGACTACTTCCTTCACCACTTCGTACATCGCGGACCTGTTTTCCTCCCGTCCCATAGCATTTTAGGATTGTAGATACCATAATCTAATGGTCATAAACAGTTTCCACACTCCAGGCATTGACTATTTCCTTCACGACTTCCTACGTCGCGGACCTGTTTTCCTCCCTTCCCATAGCATTTTAGGATTGCAAAACCCTTAATCTAATGGTCATAAACAGGTCCCACACCCCGAACAGCTCGCCTTTTCTACTTCCTTCACCACTTCCTACGTCGCGGACCTGTTTCCTTCCCTTCCAATAGCATTTTAGGATGCAGATACCTACATACATCTCATCGTCTTAAACAGTTTCCACACTCCAGACTGGTCACCTTTACTACTTCCTTCACCACTTCCTACGTCACGGACCTCAAGGGACACACACACACATATATATATATATATGAATTTGGCCCATAATTAGCTTCAATATACTATATTAGGCCTATTTGTTTTTTTTAGCTCTACAAAATGGTTCGGAAATAATTTGCAAACCATTTTGTTAGCCATTTGTTGAGGTAATCAGCGACTCCGGTAATCGTCTCCCGTGATCACAGCAATGCCGGTGAGCATAGCTTACAATATCGGCGACACCTGTCATGGCACACGATCATTGCAACACCTGTGAGGATATCTTGCGATATTAGCGACACTGGTAGTGGTAATCGTCTCCCGCAACTACGGCAAAAGCCGTAAAGATGTATGGCATTCTCTGTGACACAGGTGTCTTCTGCCGCGATTATTGCAACACCCGTGATCGGCCTTTCGGTTTACTAAACACGCTCTGTGCTATCGCCTACCAGGTAACAAGTAGACGGTTGGACACTAGGTAGAATATTCCAAGGTTTTGGTTATGCCAAGGTCGGATACAAAGGGTTCTATGTACTGTACTTTTTCTATATTAAGACAATAAGTTACATTAATAAACTTCAATTTCCCCGCAAGAATTGTGATGGTCATATATTTCTTTATTGCATTTTTTGTTTATTGCAATTTTGTGGGAGATTTAACAGCCTTGTAATAAACCGTCTTGATTGTTTATTTCTTGTACAAGTTAAATACCTATGGAAGTAATATGTACATAAATCTATGCACTGTTTTATATAGGTAAAAAATTATTTAAGTTTTGTACTGTCATTTTGTAACTATAATTTAGTAATATCTTTTATTTCAGACTGTTACTGGCGTTTACAGAGCAAAATTTTGTTCGTATAACGGCGAAACTGTTCAAGTTGGGATTTGGGATACTGTTGGGACAGAGAGGTAAAACTTTATGATTTTTATGTGTTTGTGTTAACTGGTATTATTTGAGATGTTGTAAAACAAAAAAAAACCATGGGCGTCAAAACAAAACAAAACATGGGTGTGAACAAAATGCATGAATATTATGATCTAAACCTATCATTCATTTTTCTCATCAAATGTTATTGATTCTTCCATTAATGATTTTTGAACCATGTACACTCTAGTTGGTAACATCTTTTGCATTGAACTAATTAAAACTAATTTGTAATATGTCTACTAGGACTGTATAGTTTTTGCCTCTGAATGAGAAAATATACTCCATATACTACAAAAGTTATGTTTGACCAACAAAGATTTTCCAAATGGAATAAAATTTGGTTATTAAACTCTGAATTTCCAGGAGGTTCTTTGGTAAGATAGCCCCTTAGCTAGTTTCTACCCCCCTATGTGACAGTTGTAACATTGTCACAATAACTGGATGCTGTGTCATCATTATTTCATCATTATCGGCATCATTATTAAGAAATTGGTGCTCCCTTCAGCAATGAATCAGGTTCTATGATTAGATTTCCATGATCAGGGAGTCAACCCCAATTAAATTACATTGCTAGTTAATGGATGAGAATGGAGCAAAGTGTTAGGACGAAGAAAATTCTATGACTGGATATATTTCAGACATAATCGTAAATATTTGCAAGCTGGGCTAGTTTAGGTCCTTCATCATTTTGTTTGAGGCATTGACCAATGCTAGGAATCTTTGCATGGCTATTGCAGTGTGACTGAATGAGAGAGTGCCAAATTGATAAAGGACATCTTTAATACTAGCCTACCTAGGGTAACAGTATAACTTGGTAATTCCAAGTACACAAACCTGCTAGCAAATTAAAATCCATATTTTTTAGCCCCTGAGCTGATCTTGTGACTAAATCAATAAATAAGGTTACCTTCGTCAATCAGCTCATAGAAGTTGAAACATTGTTACGGCCTTTTCAGCATATCCATGCCATCATCAGACGTTCAGCCAAGTGGCGTCGTTAATATACAAAAACACAAACTGTCACACGCGACGTACACATACATAAACATAAACGGGGGTTTTTTACTAAACAGGCCTGTTGATTAGACATATCCGCACAAGAGCAAGTAGCTGACTGGAGTCATTCATGCGGTGTCGTGTCAGTGGCGGCATTATCATTTGTACTTTGCCCTCTTGGTCTTGAATCCTTCCTCTGACTTAAAATACTATTGAAAATTACATGTGATTTGAATTGTAGTTTGTCATTTAAAATAAGTTCGCTATTGTCATTTTTTGTATGTGCTTTGTAAATTTCAAATTCTTCCAGGGTGTCCAATTTATTGCCTTTTGTACATGTGTGAAGGATTTCCAAGCCAGTGTTGAGGTCATTTAGGTCGTGATTATTGTCCATTAGATGTTGGGCAAATGTAGACTTTTGTTTGTCAGCTTTCGGTTTCGGATGATGCTCCTTATATCTAGTTTTAAAAGTGCGCCCCGTTTTTCCTACATAAACACTAGGACAACTAGCACATTTAATTCTGTATACCCCTGACCTGTCACCCTTATCAATAACCTTTCTCGTAACATTAAGTTTGTTCATAGTCTTGTTATTTGTCCTAAAAGTTAACTCTACACCGTGTCTTTTTAATTCTTTGGCCAATACATTCTGTAACGAATGGGAATATTCCACACATACATACTTCTTATCATGCTGAACTTCATTATTTTTATTCCTATTTTTACACTTCTGTTTGTTAATTAATCTGTCGATCATATTTGCTTCAAACCCATTAGCCGTTGCTATGTGCCTAATGATATTGAGTTCTTTCTGATAATTAGTGGGTGACATGGGGACGTTTAGCAGTCTATACACCATACTGTTGTATGCTGCAATCTTTTGTGAGGGTGGATGGTAAGAGGTGTTATGTATTGTCTGGTTTGAAGTAGTTGGCTTCCGGTATATGCTGAAATCTAGTCTATTGTCTATTTTCTCTATGGTCAAATCCAAAAAATTGATCTTATTTGATTCTTCTACTTCCATTGTAAATTTTAAATTAGGTGATATGGTATTAAGATAAGTGTGTAATAAATCCAGTTGTCTGTTATTTCCGTTGAACAAAAGAATTGTATCATCAACATATCTGTGGTACTGCAATATTTTTTGCTTTTGTTTGTTGTAGTCTGAAAATATAAATTCATTTTCTATATAATTTAAGTAAATATCGGCAAGAATACATGACAGCGGGGAACCCATTGCTAGGCCGTCAGACTGTGTGTAGTATTTTTCATTAAATATGAAATAATTCTGTTTCAAAACCTCTTTTAATAAAATCAACAACTCATCAATGGCTTCAGGTAACATATTTGAGCTCGTGGTTAGGTTATTTTTAACTATCTCTAGAGTTTGATCTACGGGGACATTAGTGAAAAGGTTGACAATATCGAATGAAACTAATAAATCTTGCCTCCTAACATTCAAACTTTTTGTTTTGTCTATAAAATCATACGTATTTTTCAAACTTTTGTCGTTATTAAGGGTTATTTCATTCTTTAAGATTTGTTCCAGTTTCTTAGAGAGAGTATAAGTTGGCGCCGAGGTATAGTCTACTAACGGTCTTATTGGTACGCCTTCCTTATGTACCTTAGGCAAACCTCTTAACACCGGTGCTTTAGGGTTAGTTACTGCAAGGCTCTTTATTTCTGCTTCTGTGAATAGTATTTTACAATTTATTAACTAACTTTCTGATCTTTCTCTGAAAGACACTGGTTGGATCTTTTTTAATTTCTAAAATATTATTATTCACTATAAACTCGGTAACCTTATTGATATAATCCATTTTATACATGATGACAACAGTGTTGCCTTTATCGGCTTTACATAATAAGGCTTCATTACTTATTAATTTTTCTCTAATATTATTCAAAGCTGATGCATCTTTTCTGTGTAAATTAGCTAATTTTGATGTTCTGTTTCTCTTTGTATTTCTTCTCAAGTTTGTATGAAGTTAAAACTCGAGCTAAATTACGTCCGTCTTCGTCTGGGATACTTTTTATAGCACATTCTGCATTTATTAATTCATCAAATTGGGCCCTTTTACCTGTTCTAGGGAGGTTATGTTTTAATACAATACAAAAATATTAAACTGAAACTACACAACACCATACAGAATATAAAGTTTAACAAGGATTGTATTAGATATGGGTTAAAACCAAACTATGTACACATAAAGGTTAGAAATAAGTCCTATGCTGCAAGACAAACAGTGGAAAGTGCTGAGAGAGCATGGGTCAGAAATGAAATTAAGTTTCTATACCGTAAAAAAGAAATGTTGAACACCTTGTTGTTAAATAAGTATCTAGAAATGGCTAATAACATCCATCAAATTGCATTAGATAGTATTATCAATAAGGTTGAACAGATGGTGTCTAGTGTTATTAGGTCTAAAAAACTGACCCAAAGAAAGAAACTAACTAGATTAGTTAATGATCAAAAATCTAAGGAAACTACAGTTTTGTTTGATTTTGAGTTTTACCCTAGAGTTATCAAAAACACTAGTATCATATTTGATAATGATGAAACATCCGTATTAGAAAAAGGGTTAAAACATAACCTCCCTAGAACAGGTAAAAGGGCCCAATTTGATGAATTAATAAATGCAGAATGTGCTATAAAAAGTATCCCAGACGAAGACGGACGGAATTTAGCTCGAGTTTTAACTTCATACAAACTTGAGAAGAAATACAAAGAGAACAGAACATCAAAATTAGCTAATTTACACAGAAAAGATGCATCAGCTTTGAATAATATTAGAGAAAAATTAATAAGTAATGAAGCCTTATTATGTAAAGCCGATAAAGGCAACACTGTTGTCATCATGTATAAAATGGATTATATCAATAAGGTTACCGAGTTTATAGTGAATAATAATATTTTAGAAATTAAAAAAGATCCAACCAGTGTCTTTCAGAGAAAGATCAGAAAGTTAGTTAATAATTGTAAAATACTATTCACAGAAGCAGAAATAAAGAGCCTTGCAGTAACTAACCCTAAAGCACCGGTGTTAAGAGGTTTGCCTAAGGTACATAAGGAAGGCGTACCAATAAGACTGTTAGTAGACTATACCTCGGCGCCAACTTATACTCTCTCTAAGAAACTGGAACAAATCTTAAAGAATGAAATAACCCTTAATAACGACAAAAGTTTGAAAAATACGTATGATTTTATAGACAAAACAAAAAGTTTGAATGTTAGGAGGCAAGATTTATTAGTTTCATTCGATATTGTCAACCTTTTCACTAATGTCCCCGTAGATCAAACTCTAGAGATAGTTAAAAATAACCTAACCACGAGCTCAAATATGTTACCTGAAGCCATTGATGAGTTGTTGATTTTATTAAAAGAGGTTTTGAAACAGAATTATTTCATATTTAATGAAAAATACTACACACAGTCTGACGGCCTAGCAATGGGTTCCCCGCTGTCATGTATTCTTGCCGATATTTACTTAAATTATATAGAAAATGAATTTATATTTTCAGACTACAACAAACAAAAGCAAAAAATATTGCAGTACCACAGATATGTTGATGATACTATTCTTTTGTTCAACGGAAATAACAGACAACTGGATTTATTACACACTTATCTTAATACCATATCACCTAATTTAAAATTTACAATGGAAGTAGAAGAATCAAATAAGATCAATTTTTTGGATTTGACCATAGAGAAAATAGACAATAGACTAGATTTCAGCATATACCGGAAGCCAACTACTTCAAACCAGACAATACATAACACCTCTTACCATCCACCCTCACAAAAGATTGCAGCATACAACAGTATGGTGTATAGACTGCTAAACGTCCCCATGTCACCCACTAATTATCAGAAAGAACTCAATATCATTAGGCACATAGCAACGGCTAATGGGTTTGAAGCAAATATGATCGACAGATTAATTAACAAACAGAAGTGTAAAAATAGGAATAAAAATAATGAAGTTCAGCATGATAAGAAGTATGTATGTGTGGAATATTCCCATTCGTTACAGAATGTATTGGCCAAAGAATTAAAAAGACACGGTGTAGAGTTAACTTTTAGGACAAATAACAAGACTATGAACAAACTTAATGTTACGAGAAAGGTTATTGATAAGGGTGACAGGTCAGGGGTATACAGAATTAAATGTGCTAGTTGTCCTAGTGTTTATGTAGGAAAAACGGGGCGCACTTTTAAAACTAGATATAAGGAGCATCATCCGAAACCGAAAGCTGACAAACAAAAGTCTACATTTGCCCAACATCTAATGGACAATAATCACGACCTAAATGACCTCAACACTGGCTTGGAAATCCTTCACACATGTACAAAAGGCAATAAATTGGACACCCTGGAAGAATTTGAAATTTACAAAGCACATACAAAAAATGACAATAGCGAACTTATTTTAAATGACAAACTACAATTCAAATCACATGTAATTTTCAATAGTATTTTAAGTCAGAGGAAGGATTCAAGACCAAGAGGGCAAAGTACAAATGATAATGCCGCCACTGACACGACACCGCATGAATGACTCCAGTCAGCTACTTGCTCTTGTGCGGATATGTCTAATCAACAGGCCTGTTTAGTAAAAAACCCCCGTTTATGTTTATGTATGTGTACGTCGCGTGTGACAGTTTGTGTTTTTGTATATTAACGACGCCACTTGGCTGAACGTCTGATGATGGCATGGATATGCTGAAACGGCCGTAACAATGTTTCAACTTCTATGAGCTGATTGACGAAGGTAACCTTATTTATTGATTTAGGCTGCTAGCAAAGTTTCTACAGGTTTAATCACTGTCTTGATTAAATCTGATGAATGCCCGCTGCTGGCCTAATCAAGCAAATTTCTATAGCCCTCTGCAAACTTTGTTATTCATACATTTTTTACTTCAAAACACTTTTCTCCAAAGACATACATCAGAATTGGTAATGGACAGTAAATACGGACTCACTTTCACAAGAAATCTAATCATAGAACATGATTTATACTTGGTTAGAGCATAGTTTTTCTAATTTTTGTTAGTTACTATGATAAGACTAATTGCCACATGGGAGTAGAGATTAGCTAGAATAAGTGGCGTATCCAGGGAGGGGGCACAAAGGGGGCATTTTAGTTTTATATTAGTGATGTATTGTTTATTGATATCAATTCTCGATACCACTGATACTTGGGCATTGGTTAATTATCGGTGTCGAGAATGGATCTTCAAAAGTCGATTCCGATACCAATAAAAGACACTTTTGCGGCAATCGGAAAATTCCCGCTTTTGCCGCCATTGCGCAAGAAGATGTCTGCATGGCCGCAGAAGATGATCCAAAATTTGCCGCGGTCGCGGAAGACATTGATAATGTTTTCATTACCACTGGAATGGTGAATGTCTGCACGGCCACAGGAAATGATCAGAATTTTGCCGTGGTTGGGAAGACTGTGATGATATTTCCGTTCCATGGGGGATATTCATTTATTATTTTGCCCTTTCACTTTGGTATTCCTCACTGTTTATAAGTTTTTTGCAAAAAAGCTTTTAAGTAACCTCTGAATTTAAGTGGTGATTCAGTTTTATATCTAATAATCTAATTCAGTGATTTAATTAAGTTACTGTATAGATTCAGTATTAAACTCTTGAAGGGCCATTTTAAACTCAAACAACAATTAACACGAAAGCTACGGTAACGGTATACAGAATATCCTACACCATAAAGAAATAATAAAAATACTTCTCTGTGCCTACACTGTCCCTTTTTGAAATAGGAATGCGTGTAGACAGTCCAGTCAAGTACCGGGCGAGTTGAACAAATCAACAACTGGGCCGAATAACTCGTCAGACATACTTGACCCGTGTAAACCAGGCTTAAAGTACTGTACACAAGGCTTGAGTCTAATTTGGTCTAGCATGCTTGACTGTGTTGGATTGTTGGTGATCTTTGTTTATGGACATCCCTTGTAGTTAATATACGGTCATCGTTTCCAGTGTTCTCTGTTTCTAATAAGATGTTCATCAAATCAGTCAAGAAATTGATTATGTACAGTAGGATTTATTTTAGCTAGAAAGGGTTAACGTGGACTATTTTCAATGATGAACTTCTTTGTCTGTAATGCGATAATGTGTTCATACTTGTCAACTTTTGAGGTTAAATCGAAACAAACAAAATGGCATATATTGTTTTAGAAACCGTTTTGTTTCACTTATTAAGGAATGTTCATTTTAGAATAAATTAAAATTATTTAGTATATTTAATTGACTAATTAATTTTAAACATTTTGTATTCACTGCAGTTTATACTTAATACCATTTTACTTTTATACTTTGTACATTTTATACTTGACACTTACCTCTCATAGGCCTATCAATATTAGCCTGCTTGGTACCTGATGAACTGATCTGATGTATTGGTGTTTTTTTTGGTTTGTAATACAGTTATAGCTGTTACTTATTAAGGGTCAAAATATTATAGTTTTGGAACGGTCAGAGTGAGGCAGAGAGTCAGCCAACTATCACTAATCGGCTTAGGTTGCCCGGGTCCGACTCCTATTGTTGGGGCGTCCGCACTGACATCCAAGGAAACAAGAGGCACTGACTCATAATAAATATGTCCTGGAAAGTCCAGTATAAATACTGTATGTAGCTTGGACAACTTTTGATGATTTACAAAAACAAATATCACTACTTTCTTTATCATGAAATTTTGTGACATTTGATATCAAATTTCGAACAAATCGGTTTAATTTTGCCTTTACAAGCAACAAATACCGGTAATTGAATTTGTTATTAAAAAAACCTAACCGTTAATAAAAAACAAATAAAAATATTATATTTACTGGTTGGTTGTGCTACAAACACATCTTTGACAACTTCTTTTTGAATCCGGTGACAGCAGAGATTCAAATCAGGTTCAAAAGTTACTTTCAATATTAATTTGTGATAGACTAGGCAATATTAAAAACTTAATATGAAGGGTTTTATACGAACCAAGCATTCACTGCCTTGCATTCAGCTTTTTGAAAATGTTAGGAAGTATAGTCATGATCCTGTCTATTATCATAATGTTGGATATTTAAAAGATGTGTCACAAGTTTACTGTTTCGTTCTGACAAATCTGGCTGTCACGTATTTGTTATCAGTTGTCCTTCCAGTGACTCATGATGACCTTTGCCTCGTGAGTAACCATTCAAAGATTGTCACCGAAAAATCGCTATGATCTTCAGTCAGTGTTAGTTCGTCTCATAGAGAAGTTCGGCTAATATAACGTTATAGTTTGTGTGAGTTGGTGTGTTAGTGTTAAACGTTTGAGTGTTTAGTTTACGTAGACGATGGAAGAGGAACCCTGAGACCGCAGTCACCCGAGAAATACATCACGCTGAAAACTCAACGTGCGTATACAAGTGGAGAGCGACAAATCATATTAAATGTTTATGCAGTTTTGTGGAGAGAAAATCCAGATATGTCAAAGAGAAATGTTGATTTGAGAACATCAACATGTAACATTTGAGAAATGGGATTTTGCCCAAACACGTCAGTCATAATCAAGCAGTCATGTTATATTCGTGTACAATAGCACCAACTACAGTAGAGTCTTGCAAACTCGGCGTAATGTGAACTGGAAGGGTGCCGAGTTTGTGAAATGCCCGGTTATCGGGAACTAGGGTTAAAAATAAGAACAATAAAGTTTTTAAGCTTTTTATAGTACAAGAAATCCTTAGTACCAGTTGTGAATAATTTGACATGAGCTGGCTTGAGTGCATGATTAACTCGAACTCAAAAAATCACTAATTTTCTGAGCCAGGTAATGGCCGAGTTATCCAGACTGTCGGGTTATCGAGTGCCGAGTTTGCGAGACTCCACTGTAACAAACATTATCAATAAGTTATTTTTCTAAATAAGTATCTATTTCCTACTTTGTTAAGTGATATTTCTTTTTTAGGTACAGGTCAATGAACCAGTTGTTTTATAGAGGTGCTAAAGCTGCCATTGTGTGCTACGATATTTGTGACTCTCGCACGTGGCAAGACTCAAAGTATTGGCTCAGCCAGCTCAGGCTTCATGAGGAGGTAACAAATGTTAATGCCTCTTATCTAAAGTAATACATTATATTACAGAGTAGGTCCAATGACTTCTTCATACACACCACCTTTGCTCAGTTAAATTTATAGTACCAGGGGAAAATCATTAGTTTACTCTGAAAGCAGTCTTAGTATTGCAGATACATAAATCCATTCCCAAACTCCACACTGCTCGCCTTTACTACTTCCTTCACCACTCCCTACGCCGTGGACCTGTTTCCCTCCCTTCCCATTGCATGTTAGGATTGCAGATACATTAATGTAATTGTCACAGACATTTCCCACACTCTGCACTGCTAGCCTTACTACGTCCTACACTATTTCCTACGTCCTGGACCTGTTTTCCTCCCTTCCCATAGCACTTTAGGATTGTAGATACCTTAATCTAATCGTCATTAAGGGTTTACACACTCCGGACAGCTCGACTTGACTACTTCCTTCACCACTTCCTTAGTCGCGGACCTGTATCCCTCCCTTCCCATAGCATTTTAGGATTCAAGATACCTTAATCTAACCGTCATAAACAGTTCCCGCACTCCGGACAGCTCGCCTTGACTACTTCTTTCACCACTTCCTACGTCACGGACCTGTTTCCCTCCCTTCCCATAGCATTTTAGGATTGCCAATACCCTTATTTAATCGTCATAAACAGTTCCCACACTCTGGACAGCTCGCCTTGACTACTTCCTTCACCACTTCCTACGTCGCGGACCTGTTTTCCTCCTTCCCATAGCATTTTAGGATTGCTGATACCTTAATCTTATCGTCATAAACAGTTCCCACACTTCGGAATGCTCGCCTTGACTACTTCCTTCACCACTTCCTACGTCGCGGACCTGTTTCCTTCCCTTCCCATAGCATTTTAGGAATGCAGATACCTTAATCTAATCGTCATAAACAGATCGACCACATTTCGCACTGCTAGCCTTTACTAGGCCTACAATGTATCGAGTAATCTTCAGTATAATCTTTGCTCAATTGTAACAAGTGATGTTTGTTCTTTTGTATTGTATTTTGTAATTTGCTTGTACAATCTTTGACTATTAATAGTCAACTAGGTGAAACCCGTCGATATCGACGGTTACTTTCAAGGCTTACGCTAATTAATCTAACTGCGATAAATTGAGTGACATACATATTTTCAGCATTTAGCATTGTTTAAAAATAAGTGTAAAAACAATATTGATATTAATTGCGTTAGTTACAAAATATGGTTAATCATTCAATGAATAAAATATTTCCCATACTGTACGTCATCGGAGTTGTTGGTATGGTATCTGGTATCTCTTCCTTTGGAAGAACCTTTAAATAGTATTAAAATCGTGTTGGTGGATCTTTTGTAGTTAAACACTTCTGTAATTTCATCAGTGTAATGCAGATTAATCTATGATTTTATTTGAAAAAAAAATCGTTTTGTTGGAAAGACACGTTCTAACTTCAAAGGAAGGTATATCCGTTACAGTGTAAGTTTGATTTTTCCTTCGTCACGTCACGTCAGTTCATATCGTACTTCTGTGCCATTGAATAACCCTCTAGCACAGTTTTGAGAAATTGGCTGTGGGGTTACTGTTAAGCTGGAATTTCTAGACATGGGGGATGTCAGATAGTTGTCTCAGCTGCGACGATATTTTCTGCACTGGGAAAAAAAATATTAAAAGTGCAGTCGCAACCGTTTGCCGAGGATAGCTCAGCCTACAATGGCTGGGTATTGTTCCAGGGTCTGCGATAAGGTCAGGGAAACCACTAGGCCAAAAGCCGGGTCTAACCGGTATAGGACTGGCTCATACACGGGCACTGTGAACAAGTCAAAAACAAGTCACCAAAACAAACGTGCAATAATCACTACCAGGCCTACGCCGATTCTCCACACTCCTAGGGGGTCGTTGCTGACTACGCAACTCGGGCTTCGTCCTAACTATCCAATAGTTAAGCCCAGAGTGCCTAAAACACGGTGAGTTACACGACGACTTGCCAATAAAAACCACAACGCGTGTTATCACCAGGCGGGGTCTACTAGGCCACTATAATCCAATACACAACTCTAATGCCCAAGCTAAGAATCAAACAGTTCACTCAATGATCGTACCATATAATAATATACAAGTACACTATAGGTAGAGTGACTACACCACTAGTAGCTGGTCTCAATAAATACCAAGCCAAACAAGCAAAACTAAATGGCAATTGCACTGTTAAAATATTGAGCTACTTAGTAGCAGTTAAATAAATATTAAATACGTTCCAAACACTAGATAAATATATTATCTGATAGCCGGTACTCCGCTACCCAAGCTACCAAGCTAACGTGTTGGATTACTAAGCAAGCTGTTCAGGTTAAATTAAAATAATTAAATGATTAATCAATACCAACCCTACTGCTACTACAACTACTGCTACTATATCAACGTTATATTGCTTAGCTGGGCTTCTGTTAATAGGCTAATAAAATTAGCTACTAGCCTACTGGCCTCGTGCTTCCGACTACGCACGCTAAATCGTGCAGCCTAGGTTTGTCGGGCCTCAGAGTTATTAGTAATATAACTAACTCTAGGTACAACGCAAAATAATATCTACTACAGTCAATTAAATTATATTATTTGCGCTCTAGCACCTGCCCAGAACCGTCAGGAATACACTTAAATATTATTCCTGACTAATATAAATCCTAACTACCGTCAGGCTTTGACCAGCACGGTTACAACTCTAACTCTCGCAATAAAACCAGATATTAATATTATCAAACTAATAATATCAAGTCGTCCACTCACCACAAGTGGGTCAGTACCCAACTTAACACCAACACTGTTCACCGGTATCACCACACTCCGATGTACCACCAACGTACGCCAGCCGTCTCCACAGGCACAGGACACCAACACTCACTACTTGACTGTCCGAGATCCACCACTAGAATGTCCGTCCTAGGCTATCCTGAACATCTAGGATATCCCAGGCTTATCGGCACTGATAAGCCGGGTCAAAGGGCGCTCGCTAGCTTCGCCGCCGCCGCTAGCTTACCTCAACAATCGGTGCGCGGCCAAATAGCAAAAATATACCCCCCTAGGGAAAATAGCTCGTTACATCCCCCACTTACATCGGGATGAAAAAAAAGAAAACGGCCAAAAGAAAAAAAAATCTTTGAACTCCGGCCAAAACAAAATATTCCAACCCCTAACCCAATGGTGAATCCTACACCACAGGTCTCAAACTCAAAACAAAGAAAAACTCCTCTACTAGCCACTACCAGCCAACATGGTACTGAAAGATTTGGCATCAGGAATCAGACGGGGATTTCCATTGCAAGGGCCTTCGGGGTCTTCGTCACCAATTTTGACACCGTCTATGCGGCCACCTTGGCCAGAACAGTCATCACCCACGCCCATTCTTACTACCTCTGTCCCACATGTCACCAATCCGAGGTCTTGGATGACATCCATACCCAGAATCATGTCTGTGGTGAGAGTGGGGACGTACAAGGCATCTCCTATCCACCGTCTTCCCGCAGTTTCTCCTGCTAGCCGAAACGAGTACTCGGCCATTGACCGTGTCCCATCTGCCATCCTCAGAGGAGTGGTTTTCTTACAAGGCTCTATCCCCAGGCGTTGAAGATGTTCGGCGACTCCTCGCCCAACCAAGTTGACGACGGACCCAGTGTCCAGTAACGCCACAAAAACGCTGCCCATCAGCACAACTTCAACGAAGGGTCTAGAGTCCAAAGTTAGCCGGTCCTCGTCTACTCCACCAACCAGGCTGTTTAGTTTTCCGAGCCACTCGGACCACTCTTCTGAGGTCGTTCGTTTTGGGTGGCCTTGCCCAGTTGACCTCCTGATGTCTGAGCTGGCCTGCCGTTTCCCGCCCGACATCCACACTGATTCACCGTCAAACCAGGTTTGCCACATCCATAACATGAGATGGTCCTCGGCTTACCACAGCCTTTGGCAAGGTGACCAATCTCCTGGCACCTAAAGCACCGCACACCATCAGCATCTTCCCTTGTCATTGCGGGCCTTCGTACACGAGCCTCGATCGAGTATGAACCAACCCGCTGCCCAACTGACTTGGCTTCAGGAGACGGTCTTTCAAAACTACCTCTTTCGAACGTGACAGTCTCAAGATTCTTTTCAGCTTTCTTCCTGGGAACGTAGGCGGTTTCCAAAACCAGCGCTACATTTGGTGAAGGAGGAGGTCGGAAGGCCACCTTCTCTCGCAGATAGGCCTCATAGTCTTCAGCCAACTCCACCATCTCGGCCAGGTTGCTGAAATCACGCCGGCGTACCATCAGCTTGTACTCGGGACGCATATTGTTGTAGATCAAGTCCAATCTACCATGCTCCGACAACGTACCGCTACGCCTAAGCAAGGTACTTATGGCAACGACGTAGTCTCTAAAGTGTTCGCCTTCACCCTGTGTCCTTTTCCGGATCTCCTCATCCAAGTTCCTCCAATATCCCGGTGGGAAGAACTGGATTTCAAACTGATGCCGGAAAGCTTCGAATGAATACAGGAGCTCCTTACAATTCCTGTACCATAGAAGCGCTGAGCCTTGCAGCAGCTCCGGCAGCGCTCTGAGCAGGTCCTCTGATGATATAGAGTAGGACCCCCTCAGCTCTTCAAGACGCTCCAGGAATGATACAGGGTCTCTACGGCCATCAAACTTTAAACCCCACTTCCGGACCATGTCACATATCTTGGAGCAATTCTTCGGCTGCACCCTGCTGGCCTCATTCGAGAGCATATCCGAGCCTCGTGGCAGCTCCAAGCTAGAAGGCCGGACTGGTCTCTCAGAACTATCATTGGGCCGCTGCCATCCCTCGGGTCTACTTGGTAACCCAAAGGTAGACAGCTGAGCAGCCACAACAGGGGACGCAGGGTTGGCGGGTCTTTCGAACCCATAGCCAACCTCATTACTCGGCGAGCCTCTCGCCTGTCGCACCACCGATGCCAGATGTTCTCTAAGAGTCCGGGTATCAGTCCAAAGACAACCCAAG